GGGCCCTGCGATGATCAGTCTTACACTGGACGAACAACACTTTGCTGCGGTTAACGAGTACGTTTCTGTGCTTGCTGCAAGAATACGAGGTATTGGTCTGCCTTTTAGGCATTGATGACGAATGCTGTGAGCCAGAAAGAGCCCGGACAACAGTGATCCAACTGATTTTACGAGCTGCAAGTCGGATGCTTCGACAGATGCATCGGAGAAAGCAAATGGTCTAATTTCTGTTTACAAGACAGTTTGCAGTTGCAAACTATTATCTACTGATACGCTGCTCACATCTGCACACCAGTGGACAGCAGCATAAACTGGCGGAACACGGTCTTTTATTGCTCATAAGGATAAACGTCACACCAGTCGACAGCAGCATAAACTGGTGGAACACGGTCTTTTATTGCTCATAAGGATAGTAACTATATAAAATAACTTACTGGCTGATAATTTTACGGTGTCGGTGGATGAAAAATTCAAACAGGCCTTAGCTCAACGTCTGTGGAGTGGCATAAATCGGAATAGTGATTTGCCGATGTCTACTCCACCACTTGATGTAATGCACTCAGGCTCATTGCCAACTTCGAATAGAATTAAACAGATCAAGGGGGATTCCTTGTAAACCATTCCGAAAATCAAACTAATGCAATCGGGTAACGTTAGAGTGCTTCACATAGTCCCTGTAAGGCTTGGCCCTCCGAGCTCTCATCGGACCCGACTTAGACCACTAAAGATGGCTTTCATGTAGTCAAGTAAAACTGCCACTTTCACAAAGTAAAAGAAAATTCATACTGCCATACAACCTGATTAGACATAGAGCAAGCCGGAGATAAAACAAACGGTCCGGTCACTACAAAACTGAGTAGCACCAAAAATAAGACCCTACAATCAATTTTTTGGGCAGTCAGCCATCACAAGTGAAATAAGGCAGTTATTTAGTGTGATTTACGCCAGTCTCTTTACCATCAAGAGTGAAATGAATAAATTAACCGATTCACCGAATTTATGTGACACTGATAACTTTTCCTTAGGTGAAACGGTTTGGCTCGGAAATTGCAACTAGTCTTTCAGGTGTTTCCCCGTTCGCAGTTGTGGTACTCATGAAGGCATCTTGCCTTGCATTAGGACTGGATGATAAGTTACCG